TAGGACTCAAGATTATGTAGGTCATCAGCAAATTGTGTTGATTTTTTTTATTATTATTTATACACTTTTCCTTAATTACTTAAGCTAACATATAAATATTAGTACGTTAGAGAAAGGACTCTGGAGAATAAAGCCTGGGTAATGGAATTACAATTTTAGAAAGCAACATGTACATGTTCAATTTAATTTAAATATCACTTGAAACATGTTTTGGATCAAGATACACATCTTTTAGAAGCACGTGACTCTGTCAGTCTGTTGTTCCCTTTTACACACAGAATTATTATTCTAGTAACAAGCCAGGATACTCACACTTTGCTTCATGGTACCATACTTGTTTTCGAAAATACTATTTAAATTTGTAAAATGCATTTGCAATTTATAGCTATTTATTTTTAGAATTCCTTCCATGTGCTTTTGTCTCTGTGGTTCGGGAGAGTAGAATATTTTAACCAGCATTATTTCCACTGCATTGTAGCTGAAACACAATATTTATTTCTTGACGTTTTGCTGATATGGCACATTTTGGATATTAAATAAATAGACATCCCAAAAACCTAATTAAATCATTACTCTTGGCTAGGCATTTTCAGACATTCACTAGTATTATTAATTCACCACATCAGCTGATTTTGAATAAGAAAAAATATTGTTTTATCAACACAGTCTGATGTGTCTTTGCTTCTTTTCAGAAGAATTATCACAACTTTAGGAATATTATTATTACAGTCATTTTATAGAAAGGGCATTTCTAAATATTAAACAATTTTTGTAACAGCTTTAAATAGGTTTTTGTTTCTTTGCTTTCCGTTAGTTTCCAAATACTTACCATTTTAATAGGTCAAAATTGAATGTAGTTGTTTTCATACCTGGGCTACTTTACTAAAATGTTGGAATTCCTAGTAAAATGGAACAAATAGTATAGAATATGGTCAGATTAGAAGTCTAAAATTCTTATTGAATGTTTTTATTAAACCATAAAATTATAATAAATATGTTAGGTACTCCATGTACACCTGAATATACAAGATAAATATGGATAGTGTGTTAGACTCAGCTGTGCCATTATTAAATTAAAGTGTGCTTTGAGGCATTCATTTTACTAAATTGTAAGATTGACTTGGGGAATGCAATACAAAAAGATAGCAAATACCACTACACATAAATTTTGAAAGAGGGAATATTTTTGCTTTAGACTGTTAGAAATCATTCCCTTATATGTTTGAACATGAAGGAAAAAACATATATAAACAATGAGGAAAAAGATGTATGGAAACAGTGGATGTTATAATCTTCCAGTATGTCAGCTTTAAATTCCTACACACTCAAAACTTAAGTTTTCCCTAATATTCTTCCTGAGGTCTCTTTGTATAAATATTTTAATAAGCAAATTTTTAGAGGTTAATAACAGTAAAAGGTACATTTGTTTATATGAGTATATCTAAATCAAAAAGTAATTTTTGAAGTCAGCAATTCCAACAGTACTTATACCTCAGTGTCAAGATCAATAATTACATATAATAGGAAATCAGAAATCATATTTCCCTAGAATATACAGCAGCTCTAATCATATTTTGATTTAAATTGTTCTTTTGCAGAGGTCTAAGTTGTCAAATACATCTAACCCATAACGTTTCTCTTATAAGAAAATAGTAAAAATAAAAATAAAATAATAGCTAGCATTCTCCTATACTTAATATTTCTCAAGTGTCGTTCTAGGTTTTTTTAACATGTATTAACTAATTTAATCTTCACAACAGCCCTATCTGGGGGGTAATATCATCATTCCAGATAAGAAAACATAGGCTCAAAGAGGTTAAGTATGTGGCCCAATGCCACACAATTAAGTAGTGGAGCAGAGCTTCAGCCCCAAAAGTATAGCCCCAGAATGTTATATCCTGATCAAAACAGTGTATGTTTAACTCACTATTCTGATTATGACATACATAATTAAGAAATTTCTCTCTTCATTCTTCCCATTGCCAATCTCTTCCTCTACTGCTTCTTCTCACTCCTTAAACATTCCTATTCAGTCCTTATGCTGCTGTTCCTTTCATCTTTTCTAATTTAAATTCTGAACAACGTTTGAGGCTTCAAGATACCCCATACAATGACCCTCAGACATTTTTCCCAAATCTCTAATTGCCAGATCACCATTTCTATGAGGCTAGCCTTCAATCACCGAACGCACCACAAGTAAAATTTCACTTCATAATTTTTCCTACATCAAACCAGATCCTATTTCTGAAATGTCTTTAGTGATTCCCAGCCAAAGTAATTTGAAATTTAAAAACTTTTTTTTTCTTTCCTTTCACTTTTATTCATCACATGCAATTGTTAAAAGAAGTGAGAATATGTATGGAAATGTTGAACAAATGAGAGACGTTATTATTTCTATGTCCAATAATCTGTCAAATCATACTAATTCAACTTGTATATTTTGCTGTGTACATCGTGATTCAGAATCTAAGATATGGGGCAAAGATGGCCAGAATTTCAGTCCCTTTGTCTCAGTCTCTTTATATTTAAAATGGGCATATAATAGTACTTACCTAAATAGTTTGCCTTTAAGAATTAAATCAATTAGTGCCCTTGAAGTGATGTGCTCAAAGCAGTGCTTAGCACCTAGTAAACACTTAATGGATGTTCTATTTTTCCCGACCTTTCCTTTCCCTCTGCCAGCTTTCTAGTTCAGAGTTCGGAGTTTTGAGTTCAAAGACCTGAGAGAACACATGAAATCACCCATACTTGCATTTTGCAGAACAGGGACTTGGGACTTGTTTCACTAACTTTGGGGCAATGAGGCCCATCTTTTGGGCCCAAACTCTACTTGGTGTTTCCCTTCTCTGGCCTTTTCTCACTCTGGTCCACAATACTGTATCAATAACCTTAAACGGTACTTCCAATTTAAACAAGAAACGGGTTTGTTGGCCATAGAATTCAAGCCAAGTTGTGTTGCATTTGAGATTCTTCAAAATATCCTCATAACCTAACATTTTAGCTTGACTTTCTTCTTTTATTCTAGATTAAAACTCTCTACTCTAACAAACTGTTCAACAGCAAAGTAAGCCAAGAATATTCTTTTCCCTCCCTCTGCACTTGTGCTTACACTCAAACATTTTTGTTAGTCTTTCTTTACTTTGTAAAAAAAATTTCATTCTACAAAACTCAGTTCAGTTCCATAGTCTCCATTGTATCTTCCCTAAATAAAGCAACTCCAAATAATCCCCCTCTCTTGTCTTGGTTCTTACAGTGCTGTTGCAAGCCTACTCTGTTTAGCACTTGCGTTGTCATTTGATTACCTTTTCATGATATATCAGAAGGAACACAGCTCAGAGTCAGGCAGACTTGAGTTTGAAATTCACACTGACACAGCGTGCCTGTGTGTAAGTTAACTCACACGTCAGGACCCAGGGGCTTCATTTCTGAAAGTGTGCCTCATGGAGTAATGAATTAGAGTGAGATAATGTATGCATAGTGCTGCCACAGTGCCTGGCACTGAGCAAGCGTTTAGTAAACCTTCTGGTTAATGTGGTACGAGTAATAGTATTATTGGTATTTTCCACAGTGACTGTTTTACTCCTTTCCATGTGTATATTTTATGAGTTAAAAAAATAAAGCTAATATTGAAGGCTTAAATTTGTTATGTTATTTAGTGGAGTGAATGGTGAAAGACTGTAAACTGTTATACTCATGTTACCTTTCTTATTTTTTATATTATTGTGATCAGAACACTTAACATGAAATCTACCCTCTTAACAGATTTTTAAGAGTACAATGCAGTACTGTTAACTATAGGCACAATGTTACAGAGGAAATCTCTAGAAATTATTTACCTTGCATAACTGAAGATTTATTTATATATTAGATATAAAATTTACAACCCTTTTCTTCCATTTCATAGTTTGCCTTTTCATTTTGTTGATGGTTTCCTTTACTATACAGAAGATTTTTAGTTTCATGCAGTCTTACTTGTCTGTTTTTGTTTTTGTTTCTGTTTCCTGTGCTTTTGGGGTTAAATCCATGAAACCATTGCTAAGATCATCTTTTAGGAGTTTTCTTCTAGGAGTTTTACAGTTTAAGGTTTTATGTAACTCTTTAATGCATTTCATGTTGATTTTTGTGTATGGTGTAAGAAAAAGGTCTAATTTCATTCGTTTGCATGTGGAAATCCAGTTTTCCCAACACCATTTTTAGAAGAGACTATGCTTTAGGCATTGTATGTCCTTGGCTCCCTTATTGACAATCAGTTGACCATTATGTGTGGATTTATTTCTGGGCTTTCTACTTTGTTCCATTGGTGTAAATATCTTGTTTTTATGCTAGTACCATACTTTTGAAATTTACTGTAACTCTGTAATATATTTTAAAATCAGGAAGCATTATGCTTCCAGCTTTGTTCTTTCTCAAGATTGTTTTGGCTATTCAGGGTCCTTTGTGGTTCCATATATAGGCTTTCTACTTTGTTCCATTGGTGTAAATATCTTGTTTTTATGCTAGTACCATACTTTTGAAATTTACTGTAACTCTGTAATATATTTTAAAATCAGGAAGCATTATGCTTCCAGCTTTGTTCTTTCTCAAGATTGTTTTGGCTATTCAGGGTCCTTTGTGGTTCCATATATAAGTTTCAGAACTGGTTTTCTATTTCTGTAAAAAAATGCCATGGGGATGTTGATATAGATTGTATTGCATTTGCAGATTGCAAAGATATTGGAAATTTCAACAATATTAAGTCTTCTGATGCATGGATATGGGATGTCTTTCCATTTGTTTGTTTATTTCTTTCATCAATGTTTTATAAATTTCAGTATAAATCTTTCAGCTCCTTAGTTAAGTTTATCTCTTATTACCTTTGGAAATCCTATAATATCATGTGAACTTAAAGCCAAAAAGCCTCACTTTGTCAAATATGTGTTCAACAGAAAATATAAGGACCAATGCTCTCACTTTGAGTGTTCTACTTCCAATAGCTCAGCTCCTTGGTCTCATTTTTTTAGGGTGCAAATGCTCTTGTGACATACACTATCATTAGTGGAGCTGATGATAGTTTCCGCATTGACCCTGAATCTGGAGATTTGATAGCAACCAGGCGGTTGGACAGAGAACGCCGTTCCAAATATTCATTGCTGGTTCGTGCTGATGATGGTCTTCAGTCCTCGGACATGAGAATTAATATCACTGTCAGTGATGTGAATGACCACACACCCAAGTTCTCCAGACCTGTGTACTCTTTTGACATCCCAGAAGACACAATCCCTGGTAGGTGACATGCCCTTAAGTGTATTTTGCAAGGATCACCTTTGACTAAAATTACAGACTATATTTTGGCTGCTCTCAATTAGTGACTAATTTTTACCATATGCTACTAGTTATAAAAATATATATGCTGGATTTTTGAGTCTTTTAATTAACCATCTTTGCTACAATTCCCAGCAAATTGCTAGATTTTTGAGACTGAATGAGGCTAACCATTTATCTGATTACTAATTATAGGTATTTCTGTGTCTGAAAGTATTGTGACATGGGTTATTAATTTTTCTGGCAACTACAGTTTCGATACTCTTTTTCCACTTTAAAGACGTGTAATGTGTTTATGCTTCTGTGTATAAATAGAACAAGCAAGTACACGGAAAACTGTGAATACTGGTTCTAAACACTAACTGTGTGACCAACGGCAAATTAATTCTTTTCTCTTAGCTTGAATTTTTTCTTCTATAAAATAGAAACTAAATTCTGTTAGAGTTAGGATAAAGGTTACTTTAGAAAATTTTTGTGGGTTTACATCATGAGACTTGGATATTAGCAGGTGCCCAGTAAGTATTACTAAAATCCGAATCTTGATTTATAATCTTGCCTCTTTGAACATATTATATTGGAATTGTTGAGGCTGAGTACTCAATATCCATATTTCTGGTATGTGTGTGTGCTTCATTCCCATTATTGGAAATTTTTATCTAAAATTGAAATTTTATTCTGAATTACATTTGGAATGAGTGTGCATGATAAGGCATATGGCTTGGAAACACCATTTGGCAAAGGAATTAAACATTTATAGGGGACTACTTCTTTCTACAGTTTTATTCCCCAAGATGTGTTGCACATATCTTTCATGAAATTCCTATCACATTTATTTCTTGCCTTAATTATAGCAATGACCATATGAGCTATAGAGTGATCTTCCCAGGGGATAAATCTATATTATTTCTTGGAATCCTCAGTTTCTGACACTAGCATTGGTCTACAGTATATGTTCACTCAGTTCATCAATATGTTTATGAATTGGTCCTGCTAGGTGGAAAAATAATGTCAATCAACCAGAATGTTTACACTGTAACCTGAGATGCACTGGTTATCTAATGTGTTATATGTTTTATCGATACATGGGAATGTTGGTATCAGTGTTAACGTAGGAATCTGTAGAATGTTGTGTTCACTATGTTTTTATTGTGGTTCTGTAGTTAAGATATTTTACTGTACAAATACATTTTTGGTGACTTTGTATTTATTGTCTCAATAATACCCCTTGTTTCACCGATTTTAGACTTTTAATTTATTCTTTTTGATAGGTTCTTTGGTAGCAGCTATTTTAGCTACAGATGATGACTCTGGTGTGAATGGAGAAATTACATATATTGTGAATGAAGATGATGAAGATGGCATCTTTTTCTTGAATCCAGTTACTGGAGTCTTTAATTTGACTCGAGTATTAGATTTTGAAGCTCAGCAATATTATATCCTCACTGTTCGAGCTGAAGACGGTGGGGGACAATTTACTACAATCAGAGTTTATTTCAATATTCTAGATGTAAATGATAATCCACCTATTTTCAGCTTGAATTCATATAGCACATCTTTAATGGAGAATCTACCTCTAGGATCTACTGTTCTTGTGTTTAATGTTACTGATGCAGATGATGGTAAGTACTTTATTTAATACACTTTTAAAAACTTCATTAAAATGTCACTGAAAAAAATGTCATTTATATTATAGTTATTTAATGTGTTCAGTTGTCACAAATTTTCATTTTGTGACTATAGGTCCAAAATCAGGGAATAGAATTATAATTTAACTTTAGAAGATTTTTAAAAATTAAATATTTTATCAGTTAAGTTCTTATTTATAATTATACAACATGCATTTTATCATTTTATAAAATTTATAAACTATCCTCTTTTTTTCCAGCAAAAGTTTAGTAATGTAGAAGTAAGTCATAAGACAATTTTTTGGTAGGTTTTTACTAGATAAATAAAAATATTTATGTGTATATATATTATATGAACTTAAAAATGACAAAATTTAGACACTAAAGGAAACTAATGCCTTAAAGAAAAATACTTAGAAGTGTATAACTAAGTTTTATATTTTTGACCCAAAATTGCTAATAATATTTTAGAAAGCTTTCCTGCTTTGATTCAAAGGACAGTCTCAGATCTGTTTAAGTTATATACTCAAGTTGAGATTTTGCACTAACTCTGTACTTCACATATGTTTGATTTCTATTTATTGCAAAAGCATTTGGCATGCTTTCTTTTAAAAGCTTACACCCCTGGACTTTCTTCCAAGACTTGTTTTATAAGTATGCATATCAGATAAGATAGCATTAAAGATAGCATTGTAGGGATCACCAGTCTTTAGCCAAATTGTTTGGAAAATTAATATATTGTTTGCCCTTCCACTGGATGCAACTAAATGTCCTATCAATATGCAAACAAGGGACAGTACTTTGAAGAGGAAATAGGTCTCTAACCTAAGGAATGCCAAGTACCATAGGCATATCTACCTCAATTTAGAGTTTTCTGATTCTTATGACTTTGATGATTTATGTAATCTCAGAATACCATTCTATTTTAACTTTCTATTCTATACTTAGTTTCCTTTCAGTAGTGTCTAGAAATGGCACTTGGAAAGATATGAGAAGCAAAAAGCACAATATTTTATATATGTTTCAATAAACGAAATTGGAAATACTTTCTTTAGAACTCATTGAGTAAGTGCCTTTTGAAATTTCCTCCTCTTATTCAAGTACAGTTAAAATTGGATACATGAATATGTCTACCATAGATGCAGCTGTAATCTAGTACTACTGTTACTACTACTATTGCCAATAGTACTACTACTCATCATAGCAATATTAATAATAACATCAATAACTGACATCTGTCAAATATTTAGTATGTACCCAGTCCTGACCTAAGAATGTGGAACACGCTATTCCACATACCTCATCCCAAGTCTGTGGATGGGCTCCAATCAGTCATCTATACATAATTGAGGTTAATTGCTACTTAGGAGATTGATTTCTCTGTTATCATAACTTTTAGTTAGTTTGCCTGTTTCCTGAATATGAATATTTTCAATGCTACTCATACATTTTTAAGTTCTCTGTCCCTGTGACTGTGCTTAAGCTCTCTGTAGTGAAGAATTTTCCACCATTTTCCTTTTTGATTTGTTTTGCATCATAGAGAGCCCATTGTTTCATAAAGAATTGTGTGCTCCTCT